AAACACTGTGGAACCAAATAAATAAGAAACATAGAACGTTTATTAGCAAAACGACCTTAGGGCCATTCACATATCGCGTCTTTTGCGAGCTCAAGTTCGTTATTTCAAATGTAGACGTGCGGCAGGCGCGCTAATAATGGAAGCGACGCGCTCGTTTTTTCCAAGCGCGTCCACACCGCAGCGAGATAAAAACATCTCAACTTTTCAGAATTCTGCAAGCGCACCGCAGGTCATGTAACAAGAACCAACCAATCACCTTCACCCTTTTTATAACAAAGCTTAGCCAAGATGGAGGAACGGCTGATCATAGCTGTACAGGGATAGCCATTTTTAAATAAATTTAATAGCAGAGCTACTGCAAGCGATTTTCAGTGCTGGAAATCCATTTCATTTGCTGAAACTTATGCGTCGTCATGGAGAGCGCAGGTCATGGTTGCTTAGCAATGGCAGACACAACGGGTGCGCAAGCTACAGAGCGCTTTGGGAAGCGGTGCGGCTAGCGTTTTCCACGCGTTTGTAGGCGCGACTTGTGAACGGCCCCTTAACGCACACCTAAAATTCGAATGCAACGTTTTTGCATTTGAATGTGGATTTTTATTTTAAATTCGACGAATATTCGAAATTCGATTTTTTTTTTTGACAGCCCTAATATGGACCTAATTGTATATGATCTAGTCTCAGTCTGTCTGACACGTTACTAAAGGTTAATTGAAAGTTATATATTTTTGTTGTGTGTCTTAATGTGAAGAAGATGCCACATGTGTGCTGCTACATGAAGTAGAGGAGAAGAAACACTCAACCTATATCAGCTTCTGATAATACAAGTCATAACAGATGGTTTGTGCACAATTTGTGTCTTTGATTTGAAGTGTTTGTCTCACAAACAGTGGATTTAAATCTATTATGCATAATTATAAACTTACTGGCATGTTATCTGCTCTCTGAAGCCCTTTAAATAAAGAACAATTATAGACACAGCATGCAGTAACTATAGCAAGCTGTCAGCTGGAGAAATGTTTTATATTACTAGCAGACTGATGTTTTTTCTGCCTGGAAACAAAGCCATGTTTACAAGATAGGGAGTGCTTTTGAGAATGAGGGGGAAAAAATCACTCATAGACAACAAAAGTTGACTTCACATTTCATGGCTTACTTTATATAAAATGTTTTGATACTGTTGCATAAGTGATAGAATTATTTTTTGGGCGTTTTAACAAGGATCAGATGAGTGAGTTCAGCTTTGAGAATGAAAACTAACCTGTTTGTTCCTCAGTATCTTCATGTTTGACTCTGAATGCTTCTTCAATCTTCATGTCTTCACTCTCCTCTTTAATAAACACCATCTTTGTTTGTTCTTCAGTATCTTCATGTTTGACTCTGAATGCTTCTTCAATCTTCATGTCTTCACTCTCCTCTTTAATAAACTCCATCTTTATAATAGTGTGTCACGTGGATCTCAGTTGATTCAGCAGGAGTTTTTCTGTGTCTGAACACTTTGTCCTGTTTAAGAAAAAACATGAACAGAAAGAAAAAATAAATGCAAACTGAATCTCTGGGTGCGTCTCAATCAGCTCCCTAGTTTAGTAGTCAGTGCACTGGTGAGGGAGTCAGTCAGAGTGATAATGACCTTAAATTACCTGAAAAAAATCAAAACTAGCACTCAAATTAATAAAGGGACACAAACTATATATAAAGTTCATATTAAGATTTATGTTGGTATTTACTAATTTGTAAATTATATTTAATAAATTCCACTTTTATGAAAACGTTTGCAGTTGATTTGTAAATGTCATTATTGCATTTACACTGTTTTGAGCAGCAGCTGTCGTCAGCGTGCGATGATTCGGTCTCTCCGATTCACTGAATCATTTTGAGAAGCGATTCAATTGACTCGAAAAGCTCCGTTTATTTCACTACTTGCCAGAGACTGATTCGTGTTTATGATAAACTGATTCACGATATAGGGAGAGAAATTAGACGCACCTTTACTCACAGAGAATACCCTTCATTATGTCACTAGGTAAAGCATTACAGTGTTACATTCAGTAAAATCATTTCACATATTTATATACAATTCTCTAAATGACTTGTATTGATTTGAACACTTTAAATGATTAAAAGCACACACCTTTCTTCAGCCGAATCACAGACGCAGGAGCGCGGCGCAGCCTTATGACGTCACATCGCCAGACCAAAATAAAAAATTGTTCGCTAAAATGAAAGGATTTTACTTTGGGAAAACTAATATGAATAATAAGATATAGGATGAATTGAAGAAATTAATTGCAGAGCTGTCAAAAGTCCAAAAGGGCTATCAATATTTAACTCCAGTATCTGGTCTTCAAATTACAGGACTGGGAAAAACTTCTGAATATTACAAACTCCTAAAGAAATTGTAGATTCAAATTAAGTTTGTTGAATAAATCATGCATTGATTTATTAACTGATCCTAAATCCTTTTGACAATGTATTCTACAATAGTGTAACATTAATGTGCAGAAATTGACATTTTTACTACTATTTTTACTCAGGAAAATGCACTGATAACAACAAAAAAAGAAGAGCACAAATGTAATTCAACAGAAGATAATGGCTGTGGTGAAACAAGCACTCAAATAATGTTGAGTATTAATCTACCTTATTTATTTGATCTTTTATAAAGTATTTTCTTTATAGTTTAGAATGCATAACTGATATTGTAAGACCTGTGGGAGTGCAGGAGCAATCAAGTGTACCATGTCCTCTGTCTCCTCAGCCATGTAGAGGTCTTCCGATATGAAGAGATTGAGG